AAGACCCGTAGTAAGACTTGGATTCCCCGTAATTAGACTGCATTGGATTGACCGGCCAATTCAGGTCTCATATTGGATAAGAGGACCCGGATTGGATTATCGAAATTGGATCCAATTGGCTCCTCGAACCCGTCGTGTGAATTGGTCCTTCTCTTCCTGCTGACTCCCGTTATTGGAATCGAATGGAGCATTTCAGTATGCCCCGGCTGACTGTAACGGAGTGACTGAACTTGACCACTCAGTATTTGTACTGGAGTTGGTCGATGCTCCCAATATTCGAGGTAACTGAATATTAATGAAATTCTCCTTTCTTTTTATTTTCACTGTATACTCGTGTTACAACACGACAGCATCAATTTACATGTCTTCTACTTCCGAATGTACGTTTGGCAAAGATGTTGATGTTGCCATTGAGTAATAACGTTGAGGTTCCCGTGAATGATTCTTAGATCGAAATTTGAAAAGTCGATTATCACATTTTATCGCAAAATCGATTGCTTGACTCAAAGTTTTAGGATCAGGTAAGTTGAGCATCAATTTCTTTACTTCGTATTGCAATCCATAAAGAAATTGACTGATGAGTGCAGCATCATCCCACTTGATGTCAATTGCAAGTTGTCGAAATTGTGAAGCATACACTGTTACAGAGCAATTTCCTTGTCGCAGAATTCGGATCTTATTTGTTGCAACACGAGTTGTATCGTGTTCACCATACATAGATCGAAACTCCGCCAAAAAAGCTTCCAAATTGTCCAATATTGGATTTCGTTGTTCAAGAAAAGACGAAAACCACGATAATACAGAACCAGAAAGTAGAGTGCCAATAAACCTGACTTGTGATCCTGGAGTTGGATAGCTTTGCGGTTGAAGTTCAATTGCCAATTGTACTTGATTGATGAACCCTCGAAACTTTGATCTCGTACCATCAAATTTCTCGGATAAGGTAATTCATGGTTCTCTAGTAGTTATAGGGTGTTGTACAATTGGGGAAGGAACATGATTTGTTGTAGATGTTGAAACTGCTCCGATCATCTCTATATCCCCACTTTCTGCTATTCTTGTTCTTTCATGTGTTGGTGAATTGAGTTGATGCATCGCAAGCATTAACTCCCTCATTTGCTCTTGCATTTGTGCCATTGCACTCTTCATTTCAACAAGCTCTGCTATAATGACACTAAGAAGAAAAATTTGTTTGATACTGCTCAAGGTAAAAGAAAAGAAAGACTTGATAACAAAGAAGATACTAAGAACAATATCAGTTTAGAAGTGGGTAATCCGCAAACTTCTAATACGATTATGTCTTGTCAAGAGAAAGGGGTAATCCACTCTTACTCAAGAAAAACAAAGCTCTGATATTGTAAGTGCACTCTTGTCAATCTGTCAAGGACAAAGATTGACAAAATCAATGCTCAAAAAAACTCTATCAAGTCTGCTCTCAAATCCCACTCTCTAATCTGCCAAAGAACTCTTAAGTTATTATTTGTGCCTAATTTTGTGCCTCAAGGTCTAATTTTGGCCTAGGTTGACAACTGATCCACTTTGGATACCAAATTTTTTTCTTTTGAGTTAATTTTTGTTCCAATCAACTCATAACTTCTTCCTTCATATGCCTATATTTTTTTATTTTTCTAATCTACATTATTTTGCTTTATTTATGGTCTTACAAAGTAAGTAGAAGCCTACTTTGTAAAAAAGTAGTATTTAAACCTTTAATTCTACTTTCTTTTGGACTATTCTATATTATTTGAAGTAAGACCTTTTATAATATAATAGATTCTTCACCCTTTTCACCTATTAGTCATGTTACATCATGACAACATGTATTTTTGTGAAGGTCAGACATTGTTATAAGCGCTATGACGGACTTATGTAGACGCACTAAGTCATTCATCATTGTACAGTACATAATAAGTTGCATGGCAAGCTTGCTTACAACATTGGCGGTGGATTTTACTACGAGCTTTGTAATTGGGCGGCGGCAAGCTACGCAGTAGTTATGGCTATAAGCTCAGCTACAAAGCTGCGGCTACCAACTCTATCGCAAGCATGGTTGCAAGCTTTATAATAGGGAGATTGTAAGCTTCGTCGCAAGTACTTTGGCAACTAGCTTCATAGCAAGCATGGCTGAAATTTTGTTACAGATGTTTCGGCAATCTATTCTGCAAAAAATTCTACGGCTAAGTCAGTAGGATGTGTTGTTATAGGCTCCGTAGCATGCTTTGTGGTGGACTTTGTAGCAAGCCCAAGTATAAAGTACAACAATCTCTATTATAATAAGCTTGGCTGTAGCAAGTTAGACTGCAGCAAGTTTGATAGATAGGATTTGTATTTTGAAATATCATGGATTTGGAATAAGTTTTCTTATCAGATTGTCTTCTATTCCATAATGTGTAAAAATATGAAGGTTATAGAATATCTTATTATTTTGAATAGACTAGCAATGCTTGAGTGATGGTAGAAAAATTATCTTATTATAGAAATAGAAGAATTTGATACATGCTAAGTTGACATAGGCATTGGAAATGTTTCTCTTTGGAAGGAAATTTTATAAACATATATGTTGACATATATGTGGTTGGCACATATTGCAATTTGATTTCCTTAGCAAGGATCTTTTCTTTGGTGAAATGGTATTGTGTATCTATATGTTTGCTTCTAGAGTGATATTTTGGATTTTTACTAAGAGCAATGGCACTCTGACTATTTGAATATATGGTGGTTGATACATGTTGAGGGAATTCAAGTTCACATAATAACTTAATCATATGGCTTCAACTATGGCTTTTGTTAAAGCCATGTATTCTAATTTTTGTAAATGATAAAGCTAAAGATTGTTGTTTCTTGCTGCCTCAAGGGATAAGTCTTCCAACCATTAAGAAACAAAATCCAAAGGTAGAACACCAGGTGTCTTTGTCACTTGCCTAGTTAGCATCAAAATAATCATATAAAATATAACTTTGAGGTAAGTGTTGATATTTGATTCCAAAATTTAAAGTGCTTTTTATATATCTCATAATTCTTTTCAAAGTTTGAATATATGTAGAGACTAGTTTAGAGAGATATTGTGCTCAATTGCTGATAGCATAAGCATAATCTAGTATGGAATTATCAATTGCATGCATAAAACTGCCAAAAACTTGAAAATAGGTAGATGGTAGATGGTAGATGAGAAATCTTTGGTAAAATTTAAATTTTACCACCTTGGTAGCTATTATGAAGAAATGGAGCAAAATTTGAAGGCCATATAAATTTTTTAGGATGTTTGGATGTTTTTAAATACCATGGTGAAATCAAAAATATAAAAATATTAGTTTTACTAATAAAACATAAGAAGACTAGCAACTAATTTAGTCCTTATAAGAAGAGAGATACACAAGTCTCATATAGGTTATAGCGCCTTGAATGTAGTTAAAAAGATAAGACTAAGGCCTCATGGCTTCTCTTAAAAATCAAAATATACATGTGAACCTTGGTGAGGCTCAAATCTTTGATCTATAAACAAGTTACTCTTGAAATAAAATATTTTTACTTAATTTTTTATTTATTTACTTGCTATCTTTAAACCTTCATAACTTACTCATAATAACTTAAATTTACATGTTTTTTATACCATTGGAAAGATAAAAAAATATTTTTTATTTTTTGCTAGATGAAAAATCTATGGACAGATTGTAACCAAGTTTTGAGGTGTGCAATTATTTGCTTTCATTTATTTCACTTATTTTATATTTGTTCTTATTTTTTTTTTATTATTTGCTTCTTTTAATTCATACGACTAATTTCAAGCATTTCTTAATTGAGACCATCTTACAATTTGAATTAAAGGATAAAATTTATTCTCACATAAATAGTACATTTGTCTAGAGGTGGTACTTCTAATTGTATGTATAAATATGGAGTTGGTTTTTTGTGATTGACCTTTTATATGGTCTTTCTAAGTGAATATTTTAAATTTATTTTCCATCATTGGTAAGTCTTCTAACTCTCTTCATTTTTTTTTATAAACAAATCTTTTTAAATTTATAGTCAAAGGATTATTAAAAGAAAAAAAGAAAAAAATTCATTATTAAGTAGAGAATGATTTGCTCTTAGGTTTTCATCAATCAATTTTTATGTATTTGTTATTTTATTTTAAAATCTTATAAGATACTATTAGAGAAGATTATTTTTAATCAATTAAATCCTTGTTTATTAAAACTATCTTCTCTAAATAATTTGTCAAAGGACTTCTTATCTCGATTTTTAAAAAATAATATAAAGGCTTTTTAGGTAACTATTGATGTATTAATTTGTTAAATTCTACCTACAAGATCTTTGCAAAATTATTATCTAGCGTTGAAATTATCTTCCATGGAAAATTAACTCTTTATTTACAATCAATATATACAAAATAAAAGTCTTAACCTATCAAATCCCGAAATGCCTCTTATTGTTCTAGCAACAAGATGGATATTCAAAGCATTCTAGTTAAGAAGTGCCTCTTTTTAGCACCTCACTAATTGTAGAGATAAACTTACACAATTCTTTAAAGGTATGTATAAATAGGTTTTTGATGAATAATAGATAACCAAATTTAATTTAAAACATTGCATATATTCAAAAATCTAGAAAAGAATATGCAATAACCAAGTATCTCTATAATAAATTGGAGATAAATTTCAATATTTCAAATTTTTAGATTGATTGTGGATTTTTTTTCTTTTAATAAATAAAAAATATATTTTTACAAGTCATTTCTGAATTTCAAGATTATAAAATTCACTTGCTTCTAAGAACATTTAAGTTGCAACTAAAAATTATTATATCATTTTTATATTTCACTCAACTCATATTTTGTAAGAAATGACATTGATTACACCAAAGAATGTACAACAAGAAAACACTCTATTCTAGGTAGAATATACATTAGACAGTTATATGTACCAAAGTACAATACATGATAAGAACTTTGTTGAAAGCCCAATCCATAATAGACACACAACGTGGACTTTACAGTGCCAAAATTCCAGTTTCCATTGTTTTCCAGGTGGGTTTTATAGATTAGGTGTCGAATCGCCCACAATTCCATGAGCATGATGAACTTGCACAAATAGATGCATTTGCAGCTTGCTTTGCGTACTTGGAGGAGAAGGAAGCAATTCAGGAAGCAATATCATGGAGCTGGCAAGTCTTGTAAGAAAAGCAAGAGTATTGGTATGTGCCCGTTTTTGAGCTCTTTACCTCTGAAGCTTGCATTGTCTTCATTTTCATGTGATGTCGTGAGTATGCATGAGGAGGTCCTTTGCCTCTCTTTACTGCATCGGAGTTCCGAATTGCAGCTCTCCTCTTGCCTTTGGGTTTTAGCTTCCATCATGTCTTGAACAGGAAGGTGGTGAATGGACAGGTGATCTGTTCGCAACGTTGCTTGTTCTGTAGAGCTTATGGCTGTGTGGCCATTTCTTGTTCTGTAAACCTAGAAACAGGACCTGCGAAGACAACACACAAATGAACAAGACGCTACCACGATGAAATCTAATTTGCTAGGCTTTCAAAAGACATGAAATTCGGTGCTACCTATTTCATGTTGATTCATCACCTTCAGTATCTGGGTTCGAACAAGACGACCAGGATAAGTGAAAGCCATAGCCATGTCTGTCGTTCTTACCCAGGGACTAGCAGTTCCTTCTTCCCATTGCCTTGTCACGGACCTCTTCTGTTCTGCAGTCTTTCTTTTTCACTGTTCGATTCTCAACTACCTTGGGATTCTTAGTTGCTAGCAAACGAGAAGTAGAAAGCCTACCGTCACCGCGAAGTAGGTTGAAGCTGTGGGCAGCAATAGCTCTTAGTGGCTATTTGTGGAGAAGCGTAGGCCAGGAGTGATGGAGCGAGGAAAGGCGTAGTCAAATCTCTTTAGCAGACTTCGCATAAGAATTCGCTAGCATAGTTAAAGTCTGCCCCTCTCTTCCCTCTTGCTCTGTCAAATATTTTGGGCAATCTTCTTGTGGAGTACTTTGTTTTCTCCATGTGCACCGTCGATCTCTTCTTTCCCATCCATTTGATGATACCGTAGTGGCGGTGAAGAAGCCAAAAGAAGATCATTCTTCCTGATGGTGCTCGAACGAAATTGTGCATTGCTATTGCTGGACGTTGTTACGACTTCTATTACGCTGGGATGACCTGGTTATGGTCTTTTGATTCTTCTTTCACGTGCGGCATTGCTTCTATGAAAGCTAAACTGGGTAATATATGTGGATACAGATGAAATAAAGGATACATACGAAATGACCAAACGATTGTGGTTTTCTCACTGCAAAGTCAGCACTGGTAGAGATTGAGGGATGACGGCGGTTTCATACTCACACTCTTTGGAAATAAACTGTGAAGTGACATCACCAAGAGTATAAAACCCCCTTAAAGTGAATTTCGCTTGCTGACAGCTTCGGCAACTGCAAGTTTTGCCACATGCCTGACCTCTTCGGCAGACAAAAATTCAAAGGATGCTGGAATATAAGACATAATCACTTCGGCAGATTTCGAGTTGAAGTTCACGAACGCTTATGGAATTTTATGACTCCAAGCTAAGAGTTCAGCGTCTTGAGAATGGCGATCGGCTCAGATAGTGTTGAGGTATACAAACTCATGCTCTCATCTATTGCATTCATTCTTACACGCAACCACCCTTACTCTTAGTTCTTTAGAACATAAATTTACGATACTAAAGAGCGACGCAGAATCCAGAGGAACCCATGATATAACTCTCCAACAGCAATCGTATCAAGTAAATAAACTGGAAGTGCAAGAAAAGAATCGTGCAGATCAAGAAGTGCTTATCATTCCCATGCTCCTAAGCTGCAACAAACTTGCATTTCCAGCTAAATTTACTGACAGAAATCACTACCGGGTTTCATCAAGACCAGAACCTGAGCGGAGGGATGCAGATGTTGCGGGGGAGGAGCATTCAGAAGGCGACGTGCGTGGCGCCGACCACGGTCAGATTTCGGAACTCTGAAGCGGGTTATATTCCATCTGGCTCCTGCAGACCAGGGAATGACTGAAGTGCACATGGATGAACACAACAATCCATTGGCGAGGAACAGTGAGCTCGTCGGAACTGTTTGATTGCAGCTGACCGACGTGGGTATTGTCCATGATCCATGCTTCTTCTGAGGAACTTCTGGGACATGGACATCTGCACACAGTCAACAGCGTTGGAGCCACAAATAGGAATGAATTGTTATTTGAGGAGCTTTCCCAAGCCAGGAAGCATTTTCAGCATCAGCTCAGTGAAGTATCTTTTGCAGTGACCCATCATTGTTTCATGCATAACAGGAGATAACACCGCCACAGTCAAGAGTTCTCAATCTACCTTTTGTTCAGTAGCCTCCAATTCTCTCTCTGGTGCCAGTTGTGGCGAAGAATGTTTCGTAGGGTAGTTCTGCTTTTGGATCTCATGACTTGAGGCGAACTAGAAACTTCTAAGAAATGTACAGAAGTGTGGGTTGTACAGGAGCAAGAGAGTGGCGATCCTGGAATTAGGTTTGTGTAAATTGTGCTTGGAGTGTGGTTAAGAATTTCATATTTTGTGGAGAGATGTAAGTCACGCGGAGAGGCGTTTTAGTGCGTACGAAGAGGAGTAGAACCCTCAAGTCCAATTCTAGGATCTCACAGAGTGGACGAAGGTGTTCATTTGATTCTTGCCTGCTGAGTTTTAGATGTGCCGGATGTGCCGGATCATTCTCCAATCTCCCATTTTTTACAATCATACGATTGATTGTTGAGACGATTGGAGAATGTGAAGGGTGCGAATGCAGAGCTAGCTTTGTATTGGAGTGTGTGGGTCCAATCTTGGTGATTCTAAAAGTGACCTAGTGAGAAGGAAAAAGTCGACGCAGCGCATTATTGAATTATTGGCGAGTTAGGGTTTCTCGGAGTTTGTTACTTCAATTGTATGGTGCAAGGCGACCACAGCAGATATCTGCTTACCCTGGTGGAGCGCATTCTTCTCCAAGCCTTCAGTATACGGGAAGGCATTGGAGGAAGACTGAAATGCTCTCCTCTACCGACATGGCTGATCCATCAAGTCGTGAAGTAAGCACCTCAGGCACGGCAGCTTACATAGAACACACCGTTAGTAGGCTTGATACTCTGGCTGGCATTGCCATCAAATATGGCGTTGAGGTACGCTCGACTTTCAAGAAATTTCTGTTGTTGCCACTTCGATTTCCAAATATTGAAATTTCCTCACTTATCTTTGTCCCTCTCTTGAGAAGGGCACCACGTTTTTTTTCAAACTAGCATCTGTTTTACAAGAATGTGATCTGTGTGTTCGTTATCATCAGTCGCCAGTAAGTTGAACTAATTCAGGATGTAGAGGTAGTATTCAAACTTAAAACCTGCTCTGTCAATAGTGTTGTTATTGTCTGGGTTGGAAATGAAGATCAACTGGCAGTGGACGTGACTCAGAGGCTTTGTTATACAGGTTGCAGAAATTAAGCGTTTCAATGGGCTCACCACAGACTTGCAAATGTTTGCACTTAAGACATTGCGGATACCAACACCAGGGAGACATCCACCTTCAGCTGCGTTCACCGGGCCCACTCAGTCGAGGTAATTGCTTGTTTGGTGTCGCGACTTGTAAATGGTTATACTGCAACAGAAAGATTGACTGGAACTAATCGGTCAAAAGAAACTTTTGGTATGATTGATTTCTTTGGCCATTTGAAACAAGTTCTATCAACTACGAGTTAAAGTTAGTCAAAGTTTTTAGGAAGGTCTTTATCTCGAGTATCTATCATCTCATAGAATGGCTAATGTTCTTGTGGTACGCTCAGTTAGTCTCTCGATCTTTCGTATCACGATATTGGTAAATCTACCTACGAATGACGAGAGTTCACCAGGTATTTTTAGAATTTTTCAAGGCAAGAAATTTGCTGATGTTGCCCTTCTAGTTGGTATTAATTGTAAGCATGGCGGTTCACAGATGCAAGGAAAAGTTTGCACCCAATGCTGGTCTGGATCGTGATGGCAGCCAGGATTTAAGTCTTCTAAGCACTGTTGAGCAGAAGGCAAAGAAGAAGGCATACGATACACCGACGATGGATGTGTTGAGGAATTATTATGATTTGCCTTCTACGTCAACAGGTGTGATGGACGGTTTAGAAATGGCCACTTTTAGTTCTGGCAACGAGACTGACCTGGACGATGAAGTATTTCTGCTCATGTTTCGCCCACCAAATGCCACTGATTCTCGGAGATACTCCACTGGGGATTACAGGCCTAACAGATGTGGCTACGTACGAGACTCGTGTAGGAACCTACTCGACTCCTGTTGGTCTGCTCATGCGCCTAAATTGACAGAGTCCACCCGCCTTCTGAAGCCTGGTAAAAACCTAGTAAGAGAAGGAGATTCACTTACCCAGGAAAGACCTATCAGAAGGCGAACTAGAGGTGAGTTAGGCAGTGATGATACAGCTGACGTCAATGAAAGACTCAATTACTCAAAGAGAGATTCTGCGACCAGACCAAAAGATTCCAACACTGTTTCTCCTTATGCACGTTTTGTAAATCCTTCAATTGATTGGCACAACGCTAATGAAGAGCCTTTTGGGTCAAGCAGCATCAAGACCATCAGGGCTGCTCTTGTGGGAGGGAAGGAGGTCGTTGAGGGTCTTCTCTCCAAGGTAATTCAAACATCAGGTCCGACTGCATCACAAGAAGGTGGCAGATCTTTATCCGAAAGGGTTCCCTCAACAGGATCATTCAGTGTATTGGAAGGTATTACATCAGTGTACCGTCAAGCAAAAGCTGCCTTAGATTAGATTGCTGCTAGGTGACTTGATCCTGTTGCCGGAAGGGGGTCTAATTTTCCAAATTTTGGAACCCCCAGCTTGCAAGCAAAGACTGAGTTATGTTTGCGGATACGAGGGAATCGTATTCAACTTCAGATTAGAGAGTGAGATCATTTCGAATTCTTTGGCGCAGATGTATCCCCTCAATGTAGAGAATAAGGTCCTCTGCGCTTTTTTCTTTTTGCTTGTAAATTTTACCGTTCACTTACACGATTTAGGCTGTAAGCTGTGAATCCGCTTCATTAGCTTACTAGTCTATTTGGTGGAACAATCATACAATAAACTGTTTAGCGGAATATTATGGAATAACCATATTTTGTGCATTTCACTTAATTGAATAGGAGGCTCTGAGGCTAGTAATTAGCGCCAGTCGCTTGTGTGGACCAACCCAAGGACACATTGATGTAAACAGAAAACCTTGAATCTTGAGTATTCCGTTCTGGAACCATACTCGTAGCTGAATGTGCACATCAGATGTAAATGTCATCTATGTTTTTCACTAGGACACTTGCGCCATCAACTTCATTCCATGCTTGGATTCCGCAAATCTGCAGATCAAGAGGTCATTTAATTATGCGTGGAGGAAAACCTTTCTTTTTTATAGTTCATGTCCAGTGGAAAAGTGGACTCCAGAAACATCCCTCGTTGTTTTCCTCGCATCTGAATTGATATTGTGAAGTATTATTTTTCTCATTTATTTATCCATCATCTGAATTGATATTGTGAAGTGTACCATTATGTGCAATAGCTGGGGTTTCTTGAACACATTGAAGGTTGAAAGGCTTTGTGAATCCCTCAGGAACATACCAGCAAAATCCAGAAATCCTTGTTATAACTGACATGAAGAGTAAGTTTTATGCTGGGTCCTCGATATGGTCAAAATTTCAACTCAAAGGAACCTGATTAACCAGGTTATATCCTGTATTTTTCATACCCAATTGGTGGCTAGCAGTTAGTTATATTTTTAGTTGTTATTAATACTTTTAAAACTAACTGGGTAAACATATTTTTAGCGTCAATTATTGAGAATTGCAACAAGGTGCTGTGGGCAAGTTCAACATACCTAAGGTCAATTATAAACTAGGTTTGGTTGAAAGATTTTTTTAATGTAGTGGAGACTTACCCACCTCATTGACATTAATGAGTGATACTTTTCAAGCTTTTGTCTTGTTTCATGGACCTTTTGGCTTACATTGGAAGTTGAGATGTTAATTTTTTTAATTGAAGATAAGATAGTATTATAGAATTGATATGTAAAAATAATTCTTCAAAGTTTTATTCAAGAAATTCAATATTTCTAGAATTTTAATATTTATTTTTAGAAATTAATTATAAATTGATAGATTCAAAATAAACTAGTAAAAAAAATGTTTTCTTTATTTTTATAATAAAATAATAAATAAAATAATATCTGAAATTTTGATTTAGAAAAGATTAAAAAAAAAACTTTGAGTAACAACTCAATCAACATTAAAATTACTATTTAAGTCCATAGCTTGGATCACTGAAAGTCTTGAAAATCTATGAGATTGTTCAAATCAACAGCAGAAATGACTTTGGTGTTGAAATAGAATAATTTAGAGTAGATTTTTACTTCAATTTTTTTTTTAATAATAAATAATATATATACGGTTATTTGATCTGATCTATATTGCAAGCTTTAATATGATGCAAAATAAGAATCAAGAGACGAAAAAGAACATTAAAGAAATAAAATTAGATTTTTTTTTGTAAAAATAATTAAACTGTATATATATATATATATATATATATATATATATTTAAATTTATAATGATAAGTTAAATGTAACTTCAAAATAAAAATTATGAAATGTATCAATTTAAATGATTAAAATGAGTAATTTTAGACAATGAGCATGTTAATGCATTGAACTGAAAAGGAATTGGAAGCAAAAGCTTGAAGCCATTAAAAAGAAATGAAATTTGGTAGAATACCAACATTCACCTACCTCTCATATATATATATATATATATATATATATATATACATAAATATAAAGATAGATAGCTTAAAATAAATTATTTATTTATAAATAAATAACCTTCTTTTCAAACAAACAAATAAATAAATAAATCTTTTTATAAGAGTCTAAATTACATTAAAAAAAACCAAAAAAATAAAAAGTTATAATATCTTAATTTTAAAATTACATATAAGAATCTACTATGATTTGGTAATGTATTGCAAAAGAAAATGTGTAAGAAAAAAGTAAATGTATAGAAGATGAATGCATGTTTGTCATCTCTTATAAAGAATGTTGGACTTGGCTTTAAAACATATGATAAAAATATATGTAAAATTAACATAATTAAATCCTTTGCAATTTTTTTCCAATGATATATTTTTATAGAAAAAAGTATAACATCAAAAAATAACATGTTATGTAAACCAATAAAGCTAAAATAGTAGATGGGTTAAAATTATTATTGAAAGAATGTATTATGTAGTATTAAAAAAAATCATGGAATAATATTTATTTTGAAGCCATTTTTTTTAAATTTATCATTGAAATCTTTAAAATAATGAAGAAATTTAAATTTAAAATTATTCTTTTTTATTCCTTTTTTATAAATTATTTATGTGTGGTTTTAAGTTGTTATTTTGAGACATTTTTAAACAAATCTACATTCTACATAGTTATTAAAATATAAATATTGGTCATCCGTAGAGTTTTCATAAAAGAATTAAAAAAATTAATTTTTAAGTGACTTTACTATTGAGAAATATATTAAAAATAACAATAAGGGATTTTAGAACAAAAAAATCTAGAAGTGCATTCGAAAAATTATCTTATACTCAATAAATTCTCAAAGTAACATAGAATTACTATAATGGTGAAACAAGTAATCTTAATCATACAGTTTTTTTTTGGATCTTAAAAACAAATTCTACTATTTTTATTTTTTAAAAAAAGAAAAAATACTAAAAGTGGGTTAAAAAACTCTTATCTACTTGTAAAATAAAAATAAGTAAAATGGCTATTATGCCTTAAATTAAGGAAGAATAAATTTTATTTTATTAATCGAAGGTTAGAGTTTTATAGAAGTAAAGACTTTTTGGCATGGTGTTACTAGAGATTGAAAGAAATTTTAAAATTATGGATTGATACAATTTAAAAGACGTATTTTGACCTAAGAAAAATTCTTAAAAAAAAAGTCTTTTATAATTTCATATTTGATATTTGAATTTTCGAAAATCTAATATTTTTCTGTTGATAATAAAAAAATCTGAAATATCCAAGAGAAGGTTGTCAAAGAAGATTTTTGCATGGAATAATTAAGAGAAGAGTAGGAAGCAAAGAATCACAGCCTTAAGTAAGTTATTTACAATTTCGTTTTAAAATAATATATTTTTTCATAATTCTAAAAAATATTTTAATATCCTATATTTAAATAAAAAAGTAAATACTTATATTACAGAATAAGTAGTAAAAACTCCAATATTCTTTACAATATTTATAAATTTAATTTTTCTTTTACAAACTAATAAATCAAATAAAAATCAGATAGAATGATAAAATCAAAAAACTTAGGATAAGAAAAATTAAAGTTATATAAATTTAAACATTTCTTATTTAAAGTTTTAAAATATTGTAAACGAAGAAAAATATCTGTATTATTTAGTACAAAAGATCTTTGGATGAAATAGAGTATGTAAAATATGTAGATGTAAAAGATCTTTAAGAATAGATTTAAAAGTGTTAGAATGAAAGCAATATTATTCTATAAAAAGCTTGAGAAGAAGGTATTGGAAACATAAAGTTGTGCACTCTTATATAATAATAGGTAACATATATCCAAGAATTGTAAATTAATACATAGTCACAAGGTATATTTAGAAATACTTGTAGGTTTAATTTATGCCTATGAAGTTTTAATAATATTTTGTAAAAAAAAATATTATTAAAATGAAAGAATATATAAAAATAGAAATAAAATAAGATAACTCCTTGAATTCATTAGTTTTGATTTTTTTTAGATATAATAATTTCTTGATATTAAAAATATTATCACAAATAAAATTAATTAAGTAATTAAATTCAATTTGAAAATCAGCAATATTAAAATAATTTTGAAACAAATATGAATGGTGTTCAAGTTCTACATTGCTTTGATGTTTCTAAAGATAGGAATAGCCTATTCTTTGTTTTTAAACGATTAAATTCCTATACTGATTTTTTTAATCTGATCACATTGTTGGAGACATGAATTCATATTAATTGGTTAAAAGATAACTAACATATTTACAATTCACAATAAACATAAATATGCTTCTCTAATAACTTCTCCAATCAAATGGTTCTTTTTAAAATTATATTTGTGGCTACATAAACATTAAAGGATATTTATAGAGTTAGAACGCTTCTCCAATGTTTTGCAAAAAGATTATTTTATGCCTTGATTACATCTACTCAAATTTACTTGGTTCTATTTATTTAATTGGCAAAAATGTTATTAATATAGTAAGGAGGAAGAAAAGAGAATGAAGAAGAAAAAGAAAGAAGAATACTATTTTGCAAAATTATAACAATTAAACAACAAATAGCTTGTAGAACATTTACAAGACTATTTTCCAAAATGAAGATGGTTTTTATATTTTTCATGATTTTTTTAATATGTTTTTTATGTTTTATTTTTTTATTTTTTTATTATTATGTTTAACATTAATATGGCTCACTTTTATTGTTATACATTAGTAGAGTGAGTCAAATCAATGTTGTAAGATTGTGTTACTGAAAGATTTATTGTAATATTTTCAAAATTTTAACAATTGCTTGAGGAAAAGAAAAAAGAAAAAATGATCAGCTAAATTAGTATTGCTAAATTCTTCCATGATAAAGATTGTCTACAATTCTTATAAATTAGGGAGCAACAATTAAAAAATATTTGTAGGATGTATTATACAATTATGTGTTGTAGAAATTCTCATCTTATTTTCTACTATAGCTAATTTTGCAATGAACATGCTTGACTTAGTTGATCAAATCCACATATACACTACTTGCAAGAAAATGACTAAAAAAACAAACAAACCAGTGGAAATAAGAAATAACAAATTATTTGCTCCATATTGACCTCATGCAACCAAAAAAATGACATACTGGTATGAAAAACAAATTGGTAGTTCAAATCCCAACAGTGAAGCCCCCAATCTTTGAATGTTCATAAGATAGAATATGATTCCAAAATTAATAAAAATAAATTAAATCAATCAATCAATCAATAAAACTAATACACTCTTGTGATTCCTCATATGAAATACAACAAATTCCTCAGTGACCCACATTGTTTTTCTACTCCGAGAAACAGAGTTCCTTGCTTCTTTTTTAATTTTTTAATTTTTTAGAGTTTCGTGCCGAATATTGTGTGTGTGTGAGGGAGTGAGCAGTGCCGTTGGTTTGTTGGGGTCCTGTTTTGTTGCCCTCGGAGAAACACCCATCGCGGCATTTTCTGCACACAGGATGCCAATTTCTTCACAACAGTTTTCACTTGTTGAATGCAGCTCACCTTCTTCTCGTAGATTAGGTTTCTGAGAAGTGTTTCTCGGTGTTGTAACGAAGCGTTGAGGTGTCTGTGTGATCTTACCTCCGGACTCCCGCGCTATCTGGCAACTTGGCTCCCATGATCGCTTCTCATGACTTCGGTGTTTTAGAAAGATTTTGGTTTAATTGTTGTTTTCCTGTGAGGGGATTCACAGGACTTCTCTGTTCGTGATTTCCCATTCTGGATTTTCGCTAGCTGGGCTCGGTAGTAATCCGGGGTTTTGTAATTAGCGTTGAGTTCGAATTTCAGGAATCGAGCAACATCGTTGTGCATTCTTAGCTGGTTCCTCTGACGCGCATTTTTTTTCCAGTTCGTCGCATCTGATTGAGCTGTACACGGGCTACGAAATAGGCACTATGTCCACGAAGCTCCATTGTTCTCTCATTCGGTGTCGATCGCAAGTAGGTCTCTGCTAGGTCAGAATCACGACCCTGTCAACGCTAATCTCCCCGTTCTCCTGTCCTCACATTACCCCACGCCATTGTTGTACCATTTCCCTACCTATCGTTCCTGAAATCTAAAAGCTGGACGGAACTTACTATCTAATACATATACTCGAATTCTGCTCACCCCGTGAAACGTAATTAGCATTGGAAAAAGCACAATGGCGGTAAATCCAGACACAATACAACAGAATTTGGAAACGTGATTCCTTCACCTTGCAAATTTTAAAGTATCAAATTAACTGGATATCCAGTCAATCAACGACGTGGGAGTGAATCCAAGTACTGGACTAAATGTGAGGTGACGTCTCAGAAGAGAAGAATTCAGCGTTATCTGGATAATGTGCTGTGCAAACTCATTTCAAAACAAAATCTTCGATGTGAGTTTAACTTATTCCCTACGTGTTCAATCATTTATCAATTCCGGATCATTAATTATGAGATAATGGTTGTTCGTTTTATTCCATCTGCAGGTTCTCTTCTCTGTGATTGACAATGTTGATCCACTTCTGGAAAGATCTCTGCTGGGGATGTTGAGATTTGAACGGATGTTTCGTGTAAGCAAAGTACACGCGCCTCGGCAGATGCCAAAATGTCATTTCAAAAAATAATTTAATTTCATGCTTTTAGGTTTTGACATCCAGACAGGAGATATTTCACCAGGAGATTTACTTTTCTTTTCAAGTTCCTATGAAGGTGACAACCACATTGTGATGATCCATGGCTGCTGATTGGCATGCCCGCGATTGCTCTTCTTCCTATGGATTTTCTTGCAGGCGGTTCCGGTGAAGCCATTGCGATTTGCTGCTAGAGCGTCACGCAATACCCAGGTGGAGTATATTCGCGGTGAGCAATATCCAAGGCCATGTGGTCGCCACACACCCCGTGGATGGAATTTGGATTTTAGCTCTTGGATGGGACGCATCCACGGCCTTGCGTCGCTGGCCCTCTCCTTTTTGCCAGCTTGGGGTTGCTTTGCTTGCACCTTCCATCGTTAAGTCTTTTCTCAGTCCATCTATATTCCTATTCCGTCTTGCAATCGCCACCCACTGTGGTTCTCTGTTTATAATTCCCTGACGGAAGTTATGTGTTGAGCTCGTTCACAGGTTAAGTGGGAGAGCGTGTGTGTGCGAGGTTCTGGATTAGGCTGAGCGGTTTTCGTGGAGAGTAGGGAGTGAGGTATGGCGATGGTGGTGGACGTAGGAGCGCTGGCTACGACTGCTGCCGCTGCCGTCGTGTGCAAGTGCAAGTATGGGGTCTCATCGTCGACTTCGTGCGCGCCATCCTTGGTGGGAATGGGAGCAGGGCATACGTTGCCAGTATCTCGTGGGCTTAGGAGGGTGAACATGACTGCCAAGCGATTTGAGCCCGTTGGGTTTCAGGCACGGTCGTCTGGTTCGATTGGAATTGTTGCCGAAGTTCAGGAGGCTGCTAGTCCAGGTTGGTGATGCTTTCGGAATTGGATAAGGTGTAGTAGTGAATTACTGTTTTGACTCATATTTCTGTGTTGTTGGATTGTGGTGATGTTGAGTGGAATTGGATAGTTTCATTGTGGGGTGGGTTTAGGGTTATGGAGGATGCAATTGGGCAATCTAGTTGCTACCATGTTGTACCTTAGAGTGCGTGATGGGTATTGCACCGTGTGTTATTTGTCGAAGTGGATGGTAGCCAACGTGATTGATTTTGTGTGTTTCCAGTATTCGAATCACCTGCCAAAGGCTCAAGTGATGACACCATTCAGCAGTTTCTGAAGAGGGACTATAAATATGGATTCGTGAGTGACATAGAGTCGGTTTCGATTCCCAAGGGTTTGTCGGAGGAGACAGTTAGATTGATTTCAGCGAAGAAAAACGAGCCCGAATGGATGCTGAATTTTCGGTTAAATGCTTTTAAGCAGTGGCAGAAAATGAAGGAGCCTACATGGTCTGATAACAAGTATCCCCAGATCGACTTTCAAGACGTCTGCTATTACACAGAGCCGAAGAAGAAGGAAACAAAACAGAGTCTTGATGAGGTGGACCCCGACCTTCTTGAGACTTTCGCCAAGTTAGGAATTCCGCTGAGCGAGCAAAAACGTCTTGCCAATGTGGCTGTGGATGCCGTGTTCGATAGTGTTTCTATTGCCACCACTCACAGGAAGACCCTCATGGCCGCGGGAGTAATTTTTTGCTCCATCTCGGAAGCTATTCGGGAGTATCCAGATCTTGTGAAGAAATACCTTGGAAAAGTGGTTCCTGTGGCCGACAACTACTACGCCGCATTGAATTCTGCAGTGTTCAGTGATGGCTCCTTCTGCTATGTTCCGAAGGACACGGTCTCCCCGATGGAAATCTCTACATATTTCAGGATCAACGCCATGGAAACTGGACAATTCGAGAGGACTCTCATCGTTTGCGATGAAAATGCATATGTGAGCTACTTGGAGGGGTGTACTGCCCCTGCATATGACAAGAACCAGCTACATGCCGCAGTAGTGGAGCTGTACTGTGCATCTGGTGCAGAAATCAAGTATTCTACTGTGCAGAATTGGTATGCAGGTGACTCGGAGGGCAAGGGAGGGATTTATAATTTTGTCACAAAGCGAGGGTTGTGCGATGGAGCGAGGTCTAAAATTTCATGGACGCAAGTGGAGACAGGATCAGCTATTACATGGAAATACCCCAGTGTTGTGTTGAAGGGTGATAATTCCATTGGGGAATTTTACTCAGTTGCTTTGACTAACAATAAGCAACAGGCTGACACGGGTACTAAGATGATTCACGTCGGCAAGAACACGCGGAGTCGGATTGTGTCAAAGGGTATTTCGGCAGGGAACTCGGTCAATTGCTACAGAGGCCTTGTCCAGGTATGTTTGGAAGTTTTTTCAATTTGCACTGCATGTTGTGCAAGATTTTGAGTTAATATTGAGAAATTTCTTTTGGAATATATTCTGCAGAATAGTTGGAAGGTCTACACATCTAGTTATTAGCATGATATGGTGGCCTTTTGAACTCGAATTATTTCAACCTCCTACAAAAGTTTCCATGTGGTTTCCGTACTGCCAGAATAGTTTCCTTTGTGTCAAAGCACTTGAATATCTAATTGTAATGTAGTTGATATGGAATGTCTGGATTTAGGGTGGACAGGTGTTTGGCAAGTTCTATGATTACTTGTCTTTAACAAAAACAAGGCAACGGTGTAGGTCGTAAATTATGTTGCCTTAACTTTTTTCCTCCTTCATACAGGTTCAACCCTCAGCTCATAATGCCAGAAATTTCTCACAATGTGATTCTATGCTTATTGGAGATCAAGCTGGAGCTAATACTTATCCATATATTACAGTGAGTGTCTGCACTGTTGTGTTTATGACATCTTTGTATGTTTTTATACATACAGGAATTAATGTTTAACATTCTAGTAGATTGTATGCATCAAAATTGCCTGAACCATCTATCTACACTATCAATTTTCATTTTATTATTTGTTGAATATTTTTGTCATGCAATGTAATTATGGTGACCGAAGTTAATGTGGCTTTTCTATCAAATTTAGGTGAAAGACCCATCTGCCAGAGTGGAGCATGAAGCTAGTACTTCAAAAATTGGTGAAGATCAGCTGTTCTATTTTCAACAGAGAGGAATTGATGCAGAAAAAGCTGTGGCTGCCATTATTGGAGGGTTCTGCAGGGAAGTCTTCAAGGAGCTTCCTCTTGAATTTGCTGCTGAGGTCAATCAATTGATGAGCTTGAAGTTGGAGGGAAGCGTTGGTTAAGTTTGTACACTAGGTATTCTGAAAACATGTATACAACGTAGTTTGTTATGTAGCTGGAGAGTCCCTCGGTCCTACTTATCAAGGAGTCTCCTGCTCTGCTGACGACCCAAGTCCTGGTCCGAGTCCGTGTATTTTAACATGGCTAGATTCAGGTTTTATTAATGTCGACAGTGGAGTAAATTGATTGCGGAGAGGTATTGAAAGGTTGTGCAGCTGCGCAATGTACAAATGAAACCTTGCATTCATGCTTTAGCTTTTGGGTTTCACAACATCAATGATACTGAGATTGTATTGCCTTATTTCCAGTTGACATGAATTAATGCATTTAAGTAATCTGCTATTAAAACATGTACGCTATTTGTAAATATGCATTTTTCTTCTACACTTCCGTTTGACTTCGATGATCTGCTTTATCACATTCTCAAAATCTGTACTCATTTTGTATGGCAGGCTTTTTAATTGACTAAATAGTTTTTAGACTTGTTGGAAACTTCCCATTATCTCCAATGTTTCAATGCATGAAGCTTATTAATATCTTTAATCTTAATTCAATACTTGGAATTAAATATAATTTAAATCATCCAAGTAGTAATTTGTATTCCTTAATATACAATCATAAATCATATTGTGAATATAGTGAGATATTGGTGTAGCAAATGTGATTCAAGTATTGAAGATTTTATTTATTTTGTTATTCATTTAAGAAATAATTTCAAAAATAAAAAATATTAATTAAATGAAATTTATTTTTTGTTTTAATTACTAAAAATTTATATTATTAAATACACAAAATATTTAATTCATTCAATATGGATTGTGATTTTATTGTAAAGCGAGGTATGAGAAACTTTTTGTCTTAATTAAACAATCCCAAGTTTTTTAATCATTAATAAATGTTACCTTTTAGAAAATTATCTAGAAATGAAATTTGGATAGAGAATTTTGTCCTTACTACCTCCAAGCTTAATTGTAGTTGAAAGATAGCATACAAAAAAAAAATTTAATTTTGTGGATATGTTTTAAATTTTTAGAAAAAAAACCAAGAAATAGAGACTATAGTATTTGTAAGAGTATTATAGTGATTCAAATTATAAGTTTGATTCTTGAGACAAGAAACGATGCTACTTTCTTTTCTTTCCTATTTTACACCAATTATTGTTTTTTTATGTTTTTTTTATACAAAATATTTTAACCATGATAGGTTATTTATAGATTGTAAACCTACAAGGTGAGCAATTATTGTAGAGGAGTATAAAATTTCCCAAATTTACGGATTAGATAAACATCTAATATTTATACACACACACACACAAAGATATATATATATATATATATATATATATATTCACATAAAGAAAATTCATTTATACAATGATTTGAGAATTGAATATAATTCCAAAATACAATAGATCAAAAGATAAATATTTTAATTTCTTGAAAGATTTGTTAAATAACTTTAACTCTTTGTACTTTATTTTAGAAAGAATTGGTTGTCATTGTATTATCAAAACACATTGTACTTAAAACCATTCTTGAAAGTATTTAGAATAAAATTTGCATCCCTTTGGCATTCAATTGTGTTGTCTTTATTTATTGTTTAAAATGAGTGTTATTTTTTTTTAGAGGTATAAATATTTTATAAAACTACTCTTAATAACAAAGATAGTATCTTCAAAAATATATGTAAAACTTACATCATTCTCAATTCATTATTTTATTTGATAAATAATTTTATAAAAAATATTTACAATAAATGATAAGAATGTGTAATTTTTTAAAAATAATAAATGATAAAGTATAAATACAAAAAAGTAGGTACCATTTCAATACTTTTATGCATCTTATATTGTCAAAGTACAATGAACACTTCAAAAAGTTGCTTCCATTCATAAAAATATTTTTTTAATGTCAAAAATCAAAGCCCACAAATTTCTTAAAATTAATGTTTGAAATGATTTTTTTGGAGTAAATTGATTTTGCTAATATCAATAGATATTATTGGGAGTAACAGTAATAATATTGTTTTAGTCAAAATTTACCAATAATTATTAAGAGCATTTTATATCTATCAACCATGAACTCTACATTTATTGAAGATTTTATCTTATAATGTGAGGGGTCTTAATGACCCTCTCAAAGTCTCAAAACCTCAAAGCTATATCCAAAATATTTTTCCAAAATGTGATATTATTCTTTTCTAAGAACAAAAACTATGTAGATATATGGCATAATAATTAGACAAATGTTTGTGGTTTAATGCAAGTTTTAGAAGCTTTCTCTTCCCTTATAAATATTATATCTATTAAAGTCACTGGCAAGATGAATGCAAAGTTGACTTGCCTACTTAACACCAATGAAATTGAAGAAATAGTAAAGATAATAGCTAAAGGTAAAGCATGTAGACTTGATGGCATTGGCAATGAGTTCTTTCAAAAGTTTTAGAATATCATTTGCTGAGACTATATTGATATGATAAATCAAGCACTATCAAAATGTAATCTTTCTCATAGTATTATTAAAGGATACATTGTTCTTCTTTGCAAAGGATAAGATAAAGTAATGTTACTTATTAAATAATCCAAGATCAATTTTGATATTTAATACTTCTTACAAGATTTATACTATAATTCTCCAAAAGCATCTACAATCAATTTTAGTAAAAGTCATTTTTCATAATAAAATCACTTATTTTTTTCTGTTGGTTTATCTTTGATAACATGCTTATTACACAAGAAATGATTTGCTTAGCAAAATCCTCTCACTAACTTCTATAGCTCCTAAAATCAATTTCTCCAAAGCATTGTTGAATGATCAAAATTTTATTTAAGGATTCTAGAATCAATTGCTTCTTAACCAAATATTTTCCATTAAAAAGGGAGGTGAGATACAATTGCCTTTTAATCTCCTACTTATTTATTTTTGTAGGAAGAATTTTCAATATGGCTATTTAAGAATCAATTAAAGATTATAAAATTTAAGGAATTAATATCTTATTGAGCTATGATAAAAAAAAGTCATAAGCTAATATACTAATGACTTATCAATCACTATTCAAGAGAAAGAAGATAATGTCAAAATATTAGTAAGTATCATTTAATAATTAGGTCTAACATACAATCTTAAAATCAATTGGGCTAAATTTGAAACATACTAGAAATTTAAAGAAACATCAAGTCTTGAGTAGACTAATGGCTTTACTTGGGCTTGGACTACTTCCAATAATATTAACAAGCTATTTGATACCTTGTTTGACCTTTTTCTTTGTAGTCATGATGTTAATTAATTCTTGATTGATAGATTAAAGCATAAGCTTAAATATTGGTGTTCCACCAAAATCAATGTAACTGGTATAGTGGTTATTATTAATATCATCTTTTTCTCTTTTTATATTACTTCTTAGTTACATGGACTAAGTATTTTTAGCTATAAAAAAATAGAATCATTGGTAAAACTTTTTTTTTGGAAGAATACTTCATATTGAAATTGTTTTAAGATTTTGTAGAATATATGTTGTAAAGAGAGACAAAAGAAGACTTGGCTCAATTGATCCAAAAGTGGCATCAAAGATTTTATTGAGTAAATGGATTGTAAATGTTATAGAACCTAATAATGTCAAACTTTAACAATTTATTAGGTTTAGATTGAAGAACGTTAAAACTTTTGCAAGAAGTAATTGGCTTCTAGATTTTTTTTGTTTCTAAAACCTAAATATAAATAGAATGTATTTTAAGAAATATAAAAATATGATAGACATAGTTTAGACTCAAATGTGTTATTTCTTTTGAAGTAACTTATATACTATTTTTCATGAGACCAGCAACCTTGCTTCTTATAAAGCTGCCAAATTATATTATAAAGGCCTTCAAATAATAAATAATCTATTCAAAGATATGTTTCAATATTTCTTATTTAAAAAAGCTACATTAAAATACCATCTAAAAAATGGTGCAAGAAACATTTGATTTATTCTATATGAAACTTTGTCTAGTTTATAGAAATATATTATTTAATAAGGTAATTTTAAATCTAACCTCAAGATTAAGTTAGTCTATATACTTTGGCAATGATTAATTACGATGATTGATAAATTGATAAAAATAATTAAAATATAAAATATGGAATGACTTCCACATTAGAACTTTACTTTGACAAGGTTTAATAGGGTGTCAAAAACTTTGTTGAGAATTCTTAATGAAGACAATAGGTAAACATCTAGACCAATAGACTCATCTTATTATAAAATAAGAAAATTTTGGGATGGCAAAAAAATTACTAAATTTTAAAGAGTAGATGGTCATTAAGTAGAGTATTAGAATACCACAATGTGGTATAATAATACATGCTGTAGACTTAATTTGAGAGATAATAATAATTACTATTTATAGTATATTTCTTCTAACTTCTTAGAAATTAAGAAGTAAGATGTCTTTTGAAACTTCCATTCAATCAATGCATTAGGTATATCTCATTTTTGTGTCAAAAATTTAAAAAATTAAAAAATACAAATAATAATTGATATTTAATTTGTCTTTATAAAAAATAATGTAAGAAAAACTATTAAATTTATAAAACTACGTGTACAAAAAAAATCATGACATGTTCATGTTTCTATTTAAACCCATAGTATTAAGTCAGAAGTATGTGTTTCAACTTCTTGTTTAATTCCTAATCAAACCATTTTTTGAGAATTGAATATATATATATATATATATATATATATAGATTTGTTTTTCTTTATTGCATGGGCTTGTTTACTTTATATATTTATGTCCTCTATTTTTCAATTTTTGCTTCAATGATATTGATAAACATATATATATATATATATATATATATAAGAAAATAAAGAAGAAAATATCATTAAATCCAAAAAACTAGCATTATTACAAAAATAATGAAGACTTTATAGATTTGATAGTTGTAAATATAATGTGCATTTTTTAATGAAGGTGATTTTGAACATCAAATAATAAATCCCACGTTTCCTACGTGGCACTATGTAATGGGGGCAAGCAGGAAGGGAGGGCGAGGGGCACCGTCCAGTGTTCGTTCACTCTTCACACTGTTAGCGGGGCGTTTAGCGGGGGGTTTAGCGGGACTCAATGTTCGCCGCGGCGATGTCAGTCACAGTTATCCGCATAGAATGTTCTCTTTTGTTTTTCTCCTAATGCGGCAACCTCGGATGCTTATCAATACGTGCTTGATCCACGATATGGCAGAGCAACATCTAGGCTTGTGTGATCATTCAAGGGTGACAGTTGGGTTGAAGGTTTTGCTTTCGTCCAGACTTGGTAGGCAGCAATTCGAGAGCAGAATTTTTCTCTATTCATTTATTTTGAGTTTCAAGAAAGAGAAAGATGATCTAGAAATTGCAGATCAGTAGGTGAATTTAAAGTGGTTAATGAGACCTTGAATTCATAGCCTAACATCTACAGTGATCCCATTTTTTTCTTTTCAGTTGTACACCAGATTTTTTTGAACCAGTGTTATATATAGATATATATAATTTAGACGAAATATCAACTAGGTTCACCACGGCTCAGGCAGAATGTCCCTTAGACTGGTACACTTAAGTTTATTTTTATTTTTATTGTCTCATCTATTCATGGATGTCAAGCAATTCTATGATGGTGGAAATGTCAAATTCTCATGGCACTTCATGTAGGGGATTTAATACTCATTATTTATTAGCAAATTCTAAAGACTCATCGTTGATCACATGTTCATTTCGATACAGTTTTCCGACACATTCAGTCTTCCATTGCTTGCTCAAATCACATGTCCAGTCATCAGTCTTCAGGCTTAACTCAGATCTAGCTAATATTCAATGCACTTGGCAGCCAAATGGTAAAACTCAGAGCATTAGTCGCTCACTTCATTAAAGAAAGAAATCGCGTGTGGCAACACCCACATATCAAATTGTATCATACTCTACACGCTTGCTCGCACTACCAAAATGGAATACAAAACTGTAATGAATGACTAAAACCAAGTGCTCCATCCTTGATCTCTAGTGGAGGCACCAAATACTTGTGTAACTACGTCTCTACCAGGATATACTCATGTGTGGAAGGACTAGCCATCTCATTGCATGTGTAGCCTGCATCTGTTCCGAAAACTCTCGCACAAATTACTAACTCAACGCCGTAGCCTCCATGAAACTAGTCGACTTCTGATATGAATGTGTGTAACAGCCTCGCACACCAACAGCTGTTGAAGTGTACTCAAGCAGGAGGCGTATGGTACAGTAAAAATTATATATAAAAAAGACAAGAAAAGAAAAAGAAACAAAATTGTGTATCAAAACTCGTGATAAGCAGATTTGCAGAGGGAAACAGAGCCACTTATCATGAGGCTGCTGCCGCCAGAAAAGACTTCCGGTCTAGACCTTGGTCCCTGATCGCATGGTTCATCGGAGTGGAGAGACTTGTTGTCTTGAACAAGGATGCGAGCCCAGCATGTCCAGGTCCTTGTGACTTCCTCGGTTTCAGCATTGGAGGTTGCCAGTCATCGTTGCGAATAGCTCCTGCGGTAGAACCTTTCGTAGCGTGTTTCTCCACAGGTTCTGGCTTCTGCGTTGGATTGCATCCTGATGATTGCAGAAGTACCCCACTTTTGCATGGATGAGGATTAGAAGGTGGGTCTTCCCCTTCTCCAATACGTTTGAGCGTGGTATCGTTGGCTTTTCGCTTATGGTCGGAAAACCACTTAGCTCTCATGTACTCAGGTTTCCGCCATGGTGGTAAGTGCATCCCTCGCTTCTTCAATGACAGTTTAACAGCATCACACATAAGGTTGATGATCCAATCAAGCTGATCAACCTTGCCAACAAAAACCGACGGCAGAACTCGAACTAGTGCATCGTAACCGGCAGTTGGGCGAGCAATCTCAAACTGTGCTTTAAAATCGATATCTATTATAATCCTCTCACCATCCTCTCCAGTCGAGGGCCCTTCGTAGATGACATCAACGTACTCGTAGTCACAACCCGGAATCCCTCCCAAATAATCCCACTTGGACTTGCAAATACCAGCATTATAGCCAGCCCGACGCAGGTGCTTCATAACCTGGTGTCTAAGTTCAGACATATCACCTCCATCTTGTTTGGCAGCTACAACCACCTTAGAAACCTCGTCCAGCAGGATTCGCTCCTTTGAGCAAACGTACTGCAAATATACATAAAGATCGGCAACAAGAGATGGAGGGGTATCTTCATCGGCACTACTGGTCCAAGATGATCTATCGTCAGAATTACGTGGCGACCGACCACGACTATATTTCTCATTAATTTCACTTTCCAAAAACTCCTCAACCATAGCGGCTAAGCATTCAGAGCTAGGCTCGGATTCCCTTTCGCTCTCACTTTTCACATCCTCGAGCGGGTCGACCGTGGACTCCACGTCTCGTTCTTCACCGAGAAGCTTCATCCTGAGATTTTTCGTGCGATTAGACCTAGTTAAGCGCCCGACAGCCTGCAAATCTGTGGGGCGACGACCCTTCTTCGACGGCGACATCCGCACCTGCGACTGCAAAGCCCCTAACCCCTGGTCCTCCATGTCCTTTGCCAAGGCCAAGGCCTTAGAGCTCGCGCTCTTAGCCTTCGACATAGGCCCTAAAGGCTTCATGGTCACGAGTCCTGGCATCTTCGCTGCCTCGGAAATCCCTTGGAAATCCCTGTCGTCAAATTCTATGAATCCTTGACTCTCTTTATGAGAGAAACACAACCACCGCTATCGAACATCCTCACCGACTACTCTCAAAACTGGTTAAACCTCCATCGCAAAGTCCCAACTAACCCAAACAATCACGACATCGCAAAAGGACGACAACGAAACACTACACCCCTTTGCTTCTAACAAAAACTACCGAAGCGCAACAGCTCTGCAACAGAGAAACTTCAGAAGCACAAACAAGCCGACGTTGCCCTCTCGAACATGTAGCAATAACAGCACGCTCACTTAAAGCCGGATATTATGATGGCGATGGGGACAATGATGACATCGAATCCCATTAACCCGAGTTCCTGACTCCAGGCCGCGTCTTAAAGCAGAGCAGACACGGCGGAGAAGCCCACCAAATATGACCTCTCCAACGCGGGCTGCACCCTGCGAACGGACTGGTAGGTCACCCAAAAATTTCCACGAGCCCGTGAAAAATCAAAGCGGCGAACGTGGGCACGGCGAATCGCGACGACCATCTATCTCCCCCCCCAGCAGTACGAAAATATCGGATGTCACCATTCCGAGGACCGACTTTTCCTTGTGCTTCCCCTTCGTGCTCGCGATCCCGAGCTTAGCCACAACACAACAAAACGACGACGTTCTGGGTGGAATCAGAACCTCCTGCCCGGCATCTTCCTTCCCACTCCGGGAACGCCCCTTGGGAACCGATTCGGGAGGGGGAACTGCGAACGTGTAGGGACTAGAATCGGGGGACTAGGGGAACAAGGTAGGGTCGAGTGGGGTGCCGTGGGGCATACTTGGCGGATGCCAACTCAGCTGATTGATAATCACCGGCTGGACTTTATTGGCTGAGATGGCAAGTAGCCACAACTTGCATCAGGATCTAGCTTCGTATAATCCTCAGTTGGTGATATTATTATCGTCACGGCTGTAGACCACCTTTTTGGTGCCGTGGATTTGGAGGGCAAGAGAGGGAGTGTTGGTTCTCTTGCCGGTGCGGATATGGGTGTTCGTGTCCATATTATTCTGGCAACCCTTGGATATGGATTCGGATTCGATGCGCATCTAGTGCTGGCTTGTCTGTTACTATAACGGTTTGCCCACGTTTGTGAATTCCTATATTGTTTTTTTGGTTTTGTTTTTGTTTTTGCTTTACTCAAATAGAGGTTGCCTCCATTGCAGGAAAAAATAGAATACAGCGGTCCCAGCCAGGACCGAAAACATTTCTACTGCTAGTGTTACACTAATTCTTACCGGTTTACATTAATGTCAACTAAGTTCCACTGGGGCTTATCTCCTTTCCATGTGGCGAATACGTTGTTCGCACACCACTGTTTCTGAAATGACTAACTGGGTTCTGTTTTCTGGGTACCTTTTACTTTTTAACTGTATGTGATTCCAAGCTAGTCTTCCGTAGTCTACCTTATATAGCCATACTTTGTGATGCATTTTTTGTGTGGGCCACAGCAGCCCATTGAAAACCGCGTTGTTTCGTTCCAGCCACAGTAGCCAAGTAGTAGTAGCAGGCATCAGTAACCACATCCTGCTAATTCTTCGTAAGCGACGGAGATTTCTATGTGCGAATATGCAGTGTTTCCAACTCGGTAAAAACTGTGTGCTATTCGTGAGTTGTCGGATCCCCCCTCTCAATTCGTGAGTTTGTCGTTCCTATCATTACTCTGTCTAGTGGCCCCCGTCGTTGCCTCCGTCGCTCATCTTGTATGATTGGCACTTCTGTGGTCATTTGTACCGGTGATGGCAGGGGCTAGGAGTTGTAGTAGAATTTGTATCCCCCTCCTCCAGGCTGTTTGTGCCGAGGGGCACTCCCAGAAGCAATGAAGCATTGTTTCTCTGACTCCAGATAAACATACTAAACAGCATAGGTCCACGCTGCCGCTAACCCGTCCCCTCCACGCATTTACCGCCACCGCTCTATGCCAAATGAGCCAAAGAAGCCCCACCTCTTTCCTTATGGGTTCTGGATCCCAAACGATTAACCAACGAAGCTTGAAGGTTCTGGGGAGGACCCCTGCCCATTTTGACTCCACCACAGAGGGGAGTTTATGTCGTGTTTTGAGCATCGCGCGCCTCATGGACGCCGTGTATTACATTATGGATCCCTTGTAACCCCAGCTGAACCGATCTGGGTCCCAATCCAATAAATCTACTCGCCCTTAGAAGAGCCTAACTTGCTCTTTTTTTGGTCCACGTTGAATCGTAGTTACCCTTACTCTGTGGATATGCCCAGCAGGTGTCGAGTGATCACGCCCAAGTGTGTTGTCTCCCATTTCTCCTTGTTGTTGTGCTTCGCTTGGCAGTGGCACCAGTTGAGCCAGATTCCTGTTAACATTATATTTATGCTGTCTCTCGGGAGGCTACCCGAGTAGCGGTCCCCAGTCTGCGATAAGATCTGAAGTTACCTGCCACACACTTGTTGGCAGTGCCTCAGTTAGCGGGGTCATAAAGCCCGACCCATTCTCCCGGTTTCAACTGTTGCTGTGTATGGTGTAGGATTGCCTCCCAGTGTTGACGTAGATTTTGTATGAGAGCCTGCCATGCGCCATGTTCCTGGTTCCATAAGCCGAACTTGTTACATACCTCCTCGTACGTCACGAAGGTTCTGTTTTCTATCACATCTCTGTATTTGCGTAGTCCGGCTCTATGTATGGCCATCGCCCTCACTTATGAAAAGCCTGCTCCTATGCTTTGGACTGCTGGGCAATGCCAGAAGCTGCTACTAAGAAGCTCGTCCCAACAAGTTGGTTGTACATATTTAATATCTGCTATCATTATTTTCAATGCCCTCGCCATTCGATTCCAAACTGTCGATCCAGTGTTTCTTTGATGGCGTGGGATAGTAAAGTAATCCAAACTAGGATGCCTCTTCCCACCTGGGTATGGCTGAAAATTACTTTATCCGAATCTAAGCATCCTGTGGAGATTGGATTGTAGTGGTTCCAGCGCTTTGGTAATCCATTTGAATAGTAAGGCTGTTACTATGTCTCTTGGATGTATCAAATTTATTCCTCCGACTTGTCTAGATTGATAGCATTGAAGATTGATAGCATTGAGTCCACCCAACTTTTGTACGAGCTCTTTGTACTGATCTGGCCGCAAGGTAGTTTCTTAGGGCTACTTTGACTAGCAAGATCCCCCTCTTAGTGCCACCCCAAATAGATAAATAATAGAGCATGGATGATAACAACACACTATTGACTACAATTTCTTGACTAGTTGTATTAATTTTGGTTGTACATCAAAAAGATATTTTTTTTCTATATATGTTTACATGAATATGTATCTATATCTTCTAATGTGATGGATAGATCAAAGGGAGCACCAAGTAGCTTGCTCACCTCCTCTTCTTCAATCCATACCACCCCTAATTGTTTTCTCCATGGTGGTCAAATGAGATCTTATTCACTATTTCAATAGCCACTTGATTTTTGCCAATTCAATATTAGCCTTGACTCTTCCTCTCCTAATAGTGTGAGAGAGATATCATGTGCATATTGAGCTAATACTTCTTAACATCCCTCTATTAATAATTTATACCTCAAATTCTTCCATTTGCTACCTCTTTTGCTATCATAATGTTCATGGCTTTTGCTACATTTAAGAATATGTAGGATGCCAAAGGATACCCTTATTTCAGCTCTCATGTGATTGGAAATGGATCAAAAGAGCTTCATTCATCTATACGCATGTGGAGGCATTGACAAACAAGAGTTATAATATGTCTAAGAATTCATTTGAAAACCCTAATCTTATCATAGGAATGAATAAGAAATCCCACTCAACCATGTCATATGCCTTTGAAAAATCTAACTTAAGAAACAACAAAGGTTGACTTGAATGTGCCTATGCTATGGTTTCTTGAGTAAGTAGTAAGTTATCAAATATAAATCTCATGGATAAAATGGCCAACTGTCAAGGACAAGAACTCGATGAAAAAACAGTTCAGACAAGTAAGCCTTCACTCAAAGAAAAGTAACAAAATATGAATAATAAGTATGTATATTGAAAAGAGAAACTAGAATGGCTATTGCCAAAAGACAAGAAAACTAGAGACCCTTGAAACTAGACTAGAAGCAAGAAAGGAGTTGACAAGAGTGAAGAAGCCTTCACTCTTGTCTCTATATATACTATCTAACTAAGGGCTACGTGGCGACGTTCTATAGGACCTTCAATATGTGTTGATTTTGTAGGGCACATGCCTTGACTTACAAGGCAAGTTTTTCTACGTGTGGGCCACATAGTTAGCTTGATCTTCAAGCTAACAACATGTGTGGCACATGGTCAACTTGTTGACCATGTTTCTAATCCAAAAAGTCAATAAAAGACACCTATGAAATCAAAGCAACGTCTAGGAAGTTTCTAGGAAGTTTTTATATTAAATATTATAGAATTAACTTACTTTTATCTACTTTTACTTACTTCTACCTATTTCTATATGTAATTATTAGCTTACATGATTATGGCCGTGACATAACCCCCCCTTCTAAAGACGAGTTCCACGAGGAGCGGTCATCATATGTTGAGGAAATCTATGATGCGACGAATTGTATTTGCCACATACTCTGATCTCTGTTCTCTTCGAAGATGATTGATAGGGCCTCTCAACCATCGGTAGTGTCCCATACTAGGGCGGGAAGACCATCCAGTTATTTGATCATTGTTGAGGCCTTCGTAACTTCCTTCGAATAGAATATTCGGAACACCATCAGGAGTTGTTCCTACCTCTAGCAAAATTACCAAACATCGAGAGTCCCTTCCCAAATCGTGATACCAAATGCGTTGTATCTTACCATCTATTCGAGGAAGAACATGTCGTTCTTGAAGATCTTCATCTCGATTGCGTCGTCTTGAAGGTTGTGACAATTATAATGTCTCGTCCGGCAGGTCAGCAAACGAAGGTTCTTGAGTTGAATCCGCTGGTTGTTGGCTCTCCATCTAATTAGCGTCACAAATGCAAAGAAGTTACAAACAAGGATAGAAAATTGAATGTTATCTTATCTCAATCTTGTGTCTTTTATAAGAGAGATTTTCATCTTGGTTTTGATGGATGTCGTTGATGAAAAACTTTGACTTTAGCTGATGCATTTTCTAGATTCCTGGATGGTTCCCATGTGCGTTCACTAATATCATATCCGCGCCAATGAACAAGATATTCCATCTTATTTCGGCGCCGCCTTGAGTCTAATATCTCTTCCACCTCAAATTCTTCATTATTATCTACTTCTATAGGAGGCGGTGGCATTTGTCTTCTTCCTTGTATATCCACTGTCTTATATGGTTCAAGAAGAGACACGTGGAATACAGGATGGATCTTCATTGACTCTGGTAGATGTAACCGATATGCAACTGGGTTGATCTATTGAGAAACAGAAAAGGGGCCAAGCCTACGATAGTCCAACTTGTCACAAGGTCGAGTAGTCTTGATATTGCGACGAAGTAGCCAT